TAGACATATATATATATATATATATGCAAGTAGTCTATACACTCTATGCAATATTCATGAATATCTTTTACAGATGCGGTATATATATATATATATATATATGTATATATATATATGTATATATATATGTACATATATATATATATATATATATTCATGTTCATATATATATATATATATATATATATTTGGCCCCCAAAGTCATGTTTAAACATTATTATTACTATTGTTTGCATGCGCAAACAATAGTAATAATAATAAATAATAAAAAGAAATAAATAAATAATAATTAGAATAAATAATAAATAATAATAGTAGTAAGCATTAGATGTCTTTACTTCTCTCAATAGACTCCCAGCAAGAAAAGAAAAAACACACAAGAACTACAGAGAAGGCCTGCTACTATTACATTAGGGTTTAGGGTTTAGGGTTTAGGGTTTAGGGTTTAGGGTTTAGGGTTTAGGCTTATGATTCGGCTGCAGCGCGATGGTTGGCTTAGAAATAAACCCTCAGACAAAAGCACGAAACGCAAAACAAAACAAAATAAAATTAAATAAAGTTAAAAAATAAATAAAGTAAAGTAAAGTAAAATAAAATAAAATAAAATAAATAAAATAATATAATATAATATAATATAAATGTGCTACTGAAATGTGTTTGTTTATTTGTTGCGGCTTTGCACGGGTGTTTCAAGCGTAGAGTTATTACTCTAATTTATTTTAATTTGTTTTATATTTTATTATTATTATTATAACTAAGAATATAATAATAATAATAATAATTAAGAAGGGATAAGAAAAAGAAGAAATATAAAAAACGCTGTCGGGGGGTTGGGGCCCCCAAGGGGGGCCTACGGAGTTGTATTAAAGATACGTATTAATATGTAAGAAAGATAAAATATATTTAAAAATTATTAATTTTATTTATTTTGTTTTATTTTATTCTTTTTATTTCTTTTTTTTCTTCTCTTTTTATGTATTTGAGCTGCACATACACCGCAGCCGACGCCAGCCTCCACTCGACTCCGTTGGTGTTGCTGCTGCGTATACACCTCAATAACTCGCTAAAATAGATGCTGCATGCGTTTATTTGTTTTAAACAAACCTTAAAATGCAGCAATTAAACCACCTAGACAGCTGCTGCAGCCACAGCAAAACAGACAGCAGCAGCAGCAGCAGCAGCAGCAGAAGCAGCAGCAACACCACCAGCAGCAGCACCAGCAGCAGCAGCACCAGCAGCAGCAACAACAGCAGCAGCACCGCCACCAACACCACCCCCCCCAGCAGCAGCAGCAACAGCAGCAGCAACAGCACCAGCAGCAACAGCACCAGCAGCAGCAGCAGCAGCAGCAGCAACAGGTTAGCTTGCGGCTGCCTTATCTCCTCTTGCGTGTCTTCTCTTTCGCGCTCTCACCCTCTCTTTTCTGTAGGAGACAGAATCAGAACAACAGACGGCAGCGCGGGAGTAATTAAATACATCGGCCTCTTACAACAAACACAACAAACAAACAAACACTTAATAACCACCTCAGCAGGGCCCCCAGAGGGGCCCCCAGAAGAAGAGGAAGATGGGGGGCCCCCAAGTGTTTCTTCTAAAGAAGAAATTAACAGGGGCCCCCTGGGGGGCCCCCAAGAGAATAGGGGGCCCTTGGGGGCCCCCCAAGGGGATAGGGGCCCCCTGGGGGCCCCTCAAGAGAATAGGGGGCCCCTGGGGGCCCCCCTTGGGGCCCCCCTTGGGGGCCCCCTGGGGGCCCCTGTTGATGAAGAGGGCCGCGTATGGGTTGGGGTCGTTTGGGATGATTCGAATAGAGGCAAACATAATGGAGAAGTGGATGGGGTGCGATATTTTTGCTGCTGCTCAAGCAGCAGCAGCAGCAGCAGCAGCAGCAACAGCAGCAGCAGCAGCAACAGCAGCAGCAGTGGTGGGGCATCGTTTGTGCGTGTGCATAAGCTAGAGAAGCCTCTGTCCTTTCGGGAGGCGTTGCTGCTTCGATATACTACAAAACTCACTGCCGGTAGGGGCCTTGCTGCTGCTGTTGCTGCTGCTGCTGTTGCTGCCTTTGCTGCTGCTGCTACTGCTCCTGCTGCCGTTGCTGCCGCTGCCGTTTGCGCTGCTGCTGCTGCTG